CCTCCTCCGCTACCCGGGCCACTGGTTTCTTGAGCGTTCGTATCGTCCACACCGACGTTGCAACAATTCGCTGGAAAAAAAAAAAATATATATATATATATTATCCCACGCGAGGCTTGGAAAATCCGTTGAACGAGAATTGTGTGCTCGAGTTTCATCGTGGAGTGGGGTCGAATCGAAAACGAAGCTCGTCAAGTGCCAGGTGAGGTTGGACAGAATCCTGTTACGTTACTCACGTATATAGGCTCACGTGCATAGATATATATTACCTCCTGTATACAAGGACCCGAATCACCGCATTATGACACGAGACTTAGAGAGAGAGAGGAGGGGGGAGGGAAAAAAGCGGCTGTTTTCTGTATGGCCTCATTGTGCGCCCGTCATCGTGCTGTCATGGCGCTTATAGAAGCGAGGTTTGGGATGGATTGAGAAGCACGGTGGGAGAAAGAGAAACGGAGAGGAATGGGTGGGAAGAGGAGGGAAATAGAAAGAAAGGAATTCGGAATTGATAGATCAGACGTACCGGCTCATGCTCGTGTGTAAACGGACATGGGAGAAAAACGAGATTATGGGAAATATCCTGTCCTGTAACTCGCGATGGATCGTTGTCCGGAGGTTTTCGTCGTCTCGAACAGAACGTCGTGTGGAACGTCCTGTCACTTGAAGCCAGAGGAGATAGAGAAGAAGACTGGTTCTCGTTTATCGCCGTGCCCTTACACCAGCGGCGTGCACGCGTGTAACGAGTATAATCTCTTCTCCCGTGCCTCGTCTAGACGCTATTTTCTTCCGAGAAGCTACAGCGAGGATAATTGCTCACGGAATGAAGAGCAGAGTGACGTGCAGAGCCGCGTACGGACGAAACTTTAACTTTTCCTTTTTTTTCCTAATTTACCGTCCGTGGATATTTATAACGAGCCGTTACACCATAATTTACATAATTAGCATTTGTGCACGAGATTATCCGGTAAGACGCGAATTTTCTCGCGTATTTTCTGTTCGATCGAGAATTATAACGTTTTCATCGATCGAAAAAGGGACGAGAAAAGAATAAAAAGAAGAAAAAGGATTTGTCTTGGATCAAAAATTATTCGTTTACAAGTGGAAGAAGGATTTCAATTGCCGATCACCCTTCTCCCTAATCAACCTTCCATTCATTACGTGCCACTCTTACGAGATACTTCATCATGCGAAAAAGGAGGATAAACGCGACTTCATTTGCGCCCGAGTGAAGCTAGAATGGAATTCCGAACGCAATCGATTACGGGACGAGTCGTCGGTTGGTAATCGCGTTATTTATCGTGAAACACGACTCCGTTCGCCTGCAATTTAACATTGAACGGCAAGCGTTAAGCCGTTTATATCGATATATCGCAAATAAGATGGTGTCGATTTATCGGTTCTCGCGTAACATGGTGCGCATAGATTTCGCCCTTTCCAGTTCATAATCCAAAGATCCAAAGACGTCGCAAAAATTTCTCCTTCCTTTTTATCCACGAAACTTATACGTGCTCGATTTCATCGGTGATTAACACATCCATTTGGCGAGGTAACCGGATCCAGGTCTCTCTCTTCCAGGCTGTCACTTTCAACTTCGATCTTCTTCTGGATGCGTTAACCCGCGTGATTTACCGGATTGGACGGTTATTGGAATATTAATTGGTCGACATTGGATGCGAGGAGAGGCGTCACAGCGGGAGGGAAAAGGGAAAGAGAGCTCGTAATATATACCGTTTTCTCGTGTGCGTGCTCGTTATTACGTGGCCGAAGATACACAGTTTCCGTTTGATGTTCTTTCCTTGGCACTTCACGTGTCAAACAAAATTTTCATCGATGCGAGATTTTTCTTTGAGCACGCGACCGTTCGAATCGGTTTATTTATTTATTTTTTTCTCGGTTGAAAAGACGGTGGAGAATATTTTTTTCGACGGATACGAAGAGATTCGATTAAAGCGAATCGCCATTGCGTCTTTTTTTTTTTTTTTGCGTAATAGCCAGTTTCAGCTCCGTCCATTAACGCCTCACTTGTCCCCTTGCCGATTCGTGCCGATTACGTACGGCTGTACGCTTCAACGATGTTTTCCATTAATTCGTTTTCTTTTCCCCTTTTCCTTTTTTCTCCCCCGCCTCCTCTGTGAAATTGGTCGCCGCGCAACGCAGTCGCGCGCCGCTAGAAATTCCAATTACATCCATATTCGAGTACACCTATAATTTCATCGTTGGCACGTTTACACGCAGGACAGCTCGTGACTGGCGACGATCGTTGCGGTTTTAACGTAATTAATAGAAACGGACGGAAAGGACAAAAATAGAATCTCTCGGTAGGTAGTAGTATGAGGGAAAACACGTATGCCTTGCCTCCCGTAATTTACTGCCTCCTTAATAGCAAAATTTATGAGACTGCGGCGAAAATTTTTTAAAATTTCAAACATCTCCCCTTATGGAACTCTTTATATATATAGTATATATATATATATAGTATATATATATGTATATATATATACATATACACTTCATACTTTCTATTCTAATTATCCTCGATCAAATTAATTCGTATAAGCGTTAATTATGAATCTTAACGATTTCAACGGATCGTAATCGTTATCCGAGAGAAAGGGGGGAGGGATTCGATCGATATTTGGCGCCACTCGG